GTGTGACTGTATATCTGTGTGACTCTATCACTGTGCGACTGTATAACTGTGTGACTGTATAACTGTGTGACTGTATATCTGTGTGACTGTATTACTGTGTGACTGTATAACTGTGTGACTGTATATCTGTGTGACTGTATATCAGTGTGACTGTATCACTGTGCGACTGTTTAACTGTGTGACTGTATCACTGTGTGACTGTATCACTTTGTGACTGTATATCTGTGTGACTGTATATCTGTGTGACTGTATAACTGTGTGACTGTATACCTGTATCACTGTGTAACTGTATCACTGTGTGACCGTATACCTATATCACTGTGTGACTGTATAACTGTGTGACTGTATATTCGTGTGACTGTATCACTGTGTGACTGTATATCCGTGTGACTGTATAATTGTGTGACTGTATATCCGTGTGACTGTATCACTGTGTGACTGTATAACTGTGTGACTGTATATCCGTGTTACTGTATAATTGTGTGACTATATATCTGTGTGACTGTATCATTCTGTGACTGTATACCTGTTTCACTGTGTGACTGTATCACTGTGTGAGTGAATCACTGTAACTGTATCACTGTGTGACTGTATACCTGTATCACTGTGTGACTGTATACCTGTATCACTGTGTGACTGTATCACTGTGTGAGTGAATCACTGTGTGACTGTATAACTGTATCACTGTGTGACTGTATCACTGTGTGACTGTATATCTGTGTGACTCTATCACTGTGTGACTGTATAACTGTTTGACTGTATCACTGTGTGACTGTATAACGGTGTGACTGTATATCTGTGTGACTCTATAACTGTGTGACTGTATCACTGTGTGACTGTATAACAGTGTGACTGTATATCTGTGTGACTGTATTACTGTGTGACTGTATAACTGTGTGACTGTATCACTGTCTGACTGTATCACTGTGTGACTGTGCGACTGTATGACTGTATACCTGTATCACTGTTTGACTGTATCACTGTGTGACTGTATACCTGTTTTGCTGTGTGACTGTATCACTGTATATCTGTATCACTGTGTGACTGTATCACTGTGTGACTGTATATCTGTGTGACTCTATCACTGTGTGACTGTATAACTGTTTGACTGTATCACTGTGTGACTGTATAACGGTGTGACTGTATATCTGTGTGACTCTATAACTGTGTGACTGTGTGACTGTATCAATGTGTGACTGTATCACTGTGTGACTGTATATCTGTGTGACTGTATCACTGTGTGACTGTATATCTGTGTGACTGTTTATCTGTGTGACTGTATATCTGTGTGACTGTATAACTGTGTGACTGTATACCTGTATCACTGTGTAACTGTATCACTGTGTGACCGTATACCTATATCACTGTGTGACTGTATATCAGTGTGACTGTATAACTGTGTGACTGTATATTCGTGTGACTGTATCACTGTGTGACTGTATCACTGTGTGACTGTATAACTGTGTGACTGTATATCCATGTGACTGTATCACTGTGTGACTGTATCAGTGTGACTGTATAACTGTGTGACTGTATATCCGTGTTACTGTATAATTGTGTGACTATATATCTGTGTGACTGTATCACTGTGTGACTGTATCACTGTGTAACTATATCACTGTGTGACTGTATCATTCTGTGACTGTATACCTGTATCACTGTGTGACTGTATACCTCTTTCACTGTGTGACTGTATCACTGTGTGACTGTATACCTGTATCACTGTGTGACTGTATCACTATGTGACTGTGTGACTGTATACCTGTTTCACTGTGTGACTGTATCACTATATGACTGTTTACCTGTATCACTGTGTGACTGTATACCTGTGTGACTGTATCACTGTGTGACTGTATATCTGTGTGACTGTATATCTGTGTGACTTTATGACTGTGTCACCGTGTGACTGTATACCTGTTTCACTGTGTGACTGTATATCTGTGTGACTGTATGACTGTGTGACTGTATCACTATGTGACTGTATAACTGTGTGACTGTATAACTGTGTGACTCTATCACTGTGTGACTGTATACCTGTTTCACTGTGTGACTGTATCACTGTGTGAGTGTATCACTGTGTGACTGTATAACTGTATCACTGTATGACTGTATCACTGTGTGACTGTATCACTGTGTGACTGTATCACTGTCTGACTGTATCACTGTGTGACTGTGCGACTGTATGACTACATACCTGTATCACTGTTTGACTGTATCACTGTGTGACTGTATACCTGTGTGACTGTATCACTGTATCACTGTATATCTGTATCACTGTGTGACTGTATACCTGTTTCACTGTGTGGCTGTATACCTGTATCACTGTGTGACTGTATATCTGTGTGACTCTATCACTGTGTGACTGTATAACTGTTTGACTGTATCACTGTGTGACTGTATAACGGTGTGACTGTATATCTCTGTGACTCTATCACTGTGTGACTGTATCACTGTGTTACTGTATCACTGTAACTGTATATCTGTGTGACTGTATATCTGT